ACGTCTGCCTCCACGTGCAAGCAACGGTTGAAAATCAGTGAAAATGTAGATTATATAACGCGGTGGTATTATACCAAGGTTACGTGGGGGTCCAGTAACAATAAAACTGTGGATGTGGTCACCTGAAACTGGTGAACATTTTGTCTCAGGAGCTGGTGGAGACTAAAACAGAGCTCAAAAGAGAGAAATATTTGACTTTTTGCCAGGTGGCCAGAAATATTATTAATAAGCATATTGGTCTTGCCTCTGAAGTGCCCACCCCTCCTAGTTTGCTCTGATTGGTCGGGGGAGACGTCCATCTACAAGCTAGAGTCATTATAAAAAAAAAAAAAATAGGCGTTTTCAGAGGAGAGAATACGTCATTAAGTCTTACGCACGGTTACGCTCGAGCCCCCCTGTAGTGAAATCTGATTGGATCTTTACAGGGAAGCGTCCAATTTGTAGAAAGAAAGCTAACAAACAATAGCAGACCTGCTAACACTAACTTCTCAATAAAGTCATGAGATCACATACGCCGGTACAGTAGGTGGCAGCATACACCTCTAATGTTGGTTTGTAGCCCGCCAGAAAACCGAAGAAGAAGAAGAAGAAAAACAACGAAGAAGAAAAAAAAAGAAAAAGAAAAAACAAACAAACAAATGAAGAAAGAAATGCTCGGTTTTTGCTTTGACTTCTCATGAGGACAATATTCATAACCTGGAATACTTTTATAAGGAACCCTTTTGATTTTTGTGACCTGTGGACTCTTACGGACTAAAGGAATATAAACAACGGAGGAATGGACGGAGAATCGGAGTTCAACACGTCTAAAAGGTAGGCAGTCACCACTCTTTGCTGCTTAAGGATGCTGGTAGATATTTATAAATCGTATTTATGTGCTTGTATTTAGCGCGAAATGAACTGAAAATTTGAATTCTAGAGACTCTAACCGATCTATGGCGGTACAGTCTGTTTATATTGACAAACGTTTAACCGTTTACTATGTCCGAACAGAACCTAGCACTGGGCCCGTACACGGGGCAGCGGGTCATGACGTCAAGGAGTTAATAGTAACTATGAATCCCAGATGGAGGCTGTGCTCTGTGTGAGAGACTAAATATGAAATATAATCCGTCTCAGCGCACGCCGGTGGAAGTGCATGCTGTTTGGAGGAGGTGGGTTGAGTCCAGCCAGTCAGTCAGAGGCATTAGCAGTTATAGGGCTGGTCTGGCTCTTGCAGTCCAGCCGGAAAGAAAGATATTCTGTCTCTAACTAACTTTCTCCCTGACTTAAATATTGCCGAAATCACATCTTAGTGTTTGTCTTTAATTTATGTGTTTGGTGATTTTGTCTGATGAAGTCTCGTCTCGTCTCGTCTCGTCGTCTCCCGCTTATCCGGATCCGGGTCGCGGGGGCAGCAGCCTCAGCAGAGAGGTCCAGACGGCCCTCTCCCCAGCCACTTCCACCAGTTCCTCCGGGAGAATCCCGAGGCGTTCCAAGGCCAGCCGAGAGATATAATCCCTCCAGCGTGTCCTTGGTCGACCCCGGGGTCTCCTCCCGGTGGGACATGCCCGAAACACCTCCCCAGGGAGGCGTCCAGGAGGCATCCTCACTAGATGCCCGAACCACCTCAACTGGCTCCTCTCGACATGGAGGAGCAGCGGCTCTACTCTAAGTCCCTCCCGGATGACTGAGCTCCTCACCCTATCTCTAAGGCTGAGCCCGGCCACCCTGCGGAGGAAACTCATTTCGGCCGCTTGTACTCGCGATCTCGTTCTTTCGGTCATTACCCAAAGCTCATGACCATAGGTGAGGATCGGAACGTAGATCGACCGGAAAATTGAGAGCTTCGCCTTCCGGCTTAGCTCTCTCTTCCCCACAACGGACCGATTCAGCGCCCGCATCACTGCTGACGCCGCCCCAATCCGCCTGTCGATCTCCCGCTCCATCCTACCCTCACTCGTGAACAAGATCCCGAGATACTTGAACTCCTCCACCTGAGGCTTCTTGGTTTATATTTTCTATAAAATAAATGGAGTTTCTGTGGTACTTCAAATAAACACATGTGAAGACTTTTTATTACTTTTTTTTGCAAATCAACAGGTGGTGCCAAAGCCAAACGAAGGGCAGCTACAACAAATTATAATTTTAATCTCCACAATAATACTGGTTGTCACCTTGGCCCATATCATTTCCTGTTATAGACTAACCTCGGCCCCCCCTCTCAGAAAGGAAAGTTGATGTGGCCCCCACTGAAAAAAGTTTGGGGACCGCTGATTTACGGTATTAATTTAGGCAAGAGTGCATTTGCTGTTTTTTAGTGAGAAGCTGCTTCCCACATGCTTACTAAGAAAAAGAATTTTTGGTAAAACCCTTATCTTCCCCAAAATCACAACATCTACTACAGAGTATTTGTGCTCAGTTTAAGTCTGGAGTTTTGCCTTCTGATGCAGTAAATGTAGATTTAACAACATATTTGTGTGATTTTATTGAAACTGGTATTGAATTTATAACCTAATGTCCTGTAGACGGTGAAACACGTTTATTTGTAGTAAACAGTGTTAGTACCTGGTTTAAAGGCACACTGACTGTGGGATAGGGGAGCATTTATCATTTAATTTTCTGACTTTTATTTTCATTTCAATGATTCAAACCAGTGACTTTCTGATCACAAAGCTCCTATTTCAACCATATAAAAACTGTGCCACTACAGATTTTATTGGTAATGATTTTTAAGTGATCCTCTATGCCGACCTCGCCCATCAACACTGAAAAAATGACAACATTTACATCAGTAACCGCAATCTTCTTATTTTACAACATCTTTGAAAACTATTCAGTCCAGCAGAACTGGAAACTGGACTTTTATTTCAAAACTCTGTGTCTTTGACCTCTAATTGACATCTTTCCACCGCTTCATTTGCCCCCCAGGTGTGCCAGCTAAGCGTAATGAGCTGTACTACGACTGCTGTAAAGAACCCTACCCCGATGTGACGTTCACAGTCACCATGCGCCGCAGGACACTTTACTACGGCCTCAACCTGCTCATCCCCTGCGTGCTCATCTCTGGTCTGGCTCTGCTGGTCTTCCTGCTCCCTGCTGACTCCGGAGAGAAGATCTCACTGGGTACAGAGCAGAACACACACATCAGTACATCTCTGCAATCACACACACACACACACACACACACACACACACACACACACACACACACAGGGACAATGATTCATGATTATAATCATACGTGCAGACAAAAATGTATCTCTCTCTCCAGCCTTGGTGATCTCAGCACACCAGGTCCTGACGCGATTGTTAACCCAGTTATTTGTCATTGCTCTATGCTAATCCTGACATTATAGCTGTGAATCAGCATTTATGTTGGATTCCATTCATTTGCAGATGAATAAAAGCTTCATTATAAAACAGAGCAAAGATTATCACCTGGACCCGAAAATGCCAGGTTGTTTTGAAATACCATTTAGTGAGACAGGGTCAGAGTAAATATATAACTGGGTATTCCCTCAGGGGAAGAAAAAGAGTGAGTATTCTAAAATAAATCACAGCTGTTTTCACCTATTTTGAAACGACCAGCTGCATTTATTTTGAGTGCTCTCAAGTCACCATTAAATAGAAAACGAGACTATGATGAAAGATTTTTCCCTTTGCGTTTCTGTTCATCTCTGTCTACTGTCTATTTTCCCCCAGGCATCACAGTGCTGCTGTCTCTGACGGTGTTCATGTTACTGGTAGCAGAAATCATGCCTGCCACTTCAGACTCTGTTCCTCTGATTGGTAAGACACTCTCCTGCGCTAATTACTGCTCAGTTTAATGATCTTTTGACTTTGAAAGTGATGAAAAAGAAAGAAAAACAATTACAGTGGGTCACAAAATAATCAAAGTATATCTCCCAAAAAGATATTTGTGATAGACATTTGCTTAAAAACTTAGAAAGAAAGAATTAGTTTGACATAAATACATACTTTCTTACCCGGGATTGGCTAAAAATACCGTATGTCCTCCTGTTAGGTTAGAAGAGGGAAACACTTAGCCCAGGGGTCTGAAACCTTTACTATTAAAAGAGCCATTTTTGCATTTTTGGCCCCTCTACTACAAATAAAAATCATCTGAAGCAGCAAAACTTATTCAACCCTTAAAATTAAGATAACATAGCGTTAAAGTTTTATATATAGTTACACTATATATAAAAGAACTATAGTTTATTGCATTTATGATATTATAGAATTACAAAAAAAAACTATTGACATTTTATTGCTGTTTTTACCTGTTATAACAAAGGAAAACACCAAACTCTAATGAATAGGAGAAAAAAACACTGGCATGTATATGCCTACTTTTAAATAAAACAGAACCCGCTCTTAACCCCTAAAACTTACTAATGAACACAAATTGTATTTTTTACATTGTTTTTGTACAGATTAAAAAAAAACGAGAATGTGTATTAGGAAGTTTTAATTTTTTCTTACCTATGAATGAAGCCAGGCTAGCTGTTTTCCTCTGTTTACAGTCTTTGTTCTAAGCTAGCCTAACAATCTGTGAAGGGACTTTGGTGTAGTGGCTACACAGTAGACTAATGTAGACTAATGTACACTGGAAAGTTGGAAAGTCTGCGGGAGTCATATGATTTTAGTATTTTAACCCATTCATGTGTGTGGGGAGCCAACAGAAAGTCAGCTAGCTCGGACAGCAGAAGTCTCAGATTTGCATGCTCTAAACTGGCTGGGCTGGACAAGGACATTTATGAAGCAGATTTTCAATGTTGTTCCATTAAAATTTTCCTCATTTTCTGTTTGTGCTGTTTGGTATTGAGTTTACATTGACACTAGCTATTATGAGGTTTTTGGAGTATCCTGCTTATATTTTGCACATGTGAACAGCTTATCCTGGTTTCATAAACCTGGGTAAGATCTTATCCTGGATTTGAGAAACCTAGACACCTTTTCCAGGTTTCTGAACCATTTCACAGTGGCTGATATGAAATCAAAACAGGTCAATGCAGACAGGAGCAGAATAATTCAAACAATCAGACTGATAATTTTGTTTGTTAACCCTATTTGTTGATGTACCCGGTACCAGACTAAATGTGGCCACTATGTTCCTCTAGGAAGAAAATGATCTACATTAGGAAAAACAAAAAATTTTAGCAACAGTCCAGTTGTAGTCCTGTTGTATAAAAGCAATGTCACACACGAGGTCACAATGTTGTACTAAATATCAGCATGCGGCCTCATACCTATGACCATATCACAGCCGTGCTCATATTCAGTACAACATCACTCCCTCTCGTATGATAATGCTTAATAGCTAATCAAAACAGGATAACGCTCAAAGGATACTAATGGATATGTAAATGCTATCACTGATGTTCTCATCTAACTTCCTGCAACAAAAGTGAAAAATGGTTATTCACAAAATGTTGATCTAGTCAATTAAGACCATATATTAGAGCAAATTGGTACATTGAAATGAGACGAAGTCTGAGGAAGTGGTCCACGTTGAAACTCAAGATATAAAAAACATAAAAACAGTTGGCGCTGATGCAGGATGTGAAGATCACGCTAAGCATATGACACAAAGAGAGTTGCATTGTATAAGACCATACTGATACAGACCAGAAGAGACAGGGCAGTCGGCCATGAGATGAGAGGGGAGGCTGCAGACAGAGATGCTGCTCAGCATCATTTGGCAGCTCAGTGACAGAAAACGAAGCCATTAACAAACTTGCCTTTACTGGGGTAGACGTATTAACACAGTGCAGATGGAGCAGAACTAATAGATTGAAGACAAAATAAAATGCATTCGCTCTGACAGGTTTTCACACAGCTGCTATTATGCTTCGACATGGAAATGTATACAGAATAATTCGATTGGTCCACCTTTCTGTGAGGTCGCTGACATCACAGCTGGATCAAAATGAAAAATGAGGGGGACATATCACATGTTTGTGTGTATTAGGGTCTGTGTGTGTGTGTGTTAGTGTGTGTGTGTGTGTGTGCCAGTAGGGTAGCGTGCTTGCCCACATGCACGTGTTATACATTTTCATTTCTCTGTGGCTTGCAGTGCCTTCAAGCCTGTGTGTGTGTGTGTGTGTGTGTGTGTGTGTTTTGGCTGGTTTGTAAATTAGGAAACAAAATGTTAGTCATCCTCCAACCAGCCCCTGTGGTGTTATGACCTTAGGTTTGTTGACAGGGATAAACTCCCCACTGAAAAACCAACCCACAGCTGGCCACAGTGCTGCCAAAATATCACGCTCACCTCTCATGTTTCCTTCTTATATGTTAATAATGTAGATACACAAACTTTTAATTTACAATTCACTGTTACATTTCAGATAACAGGCTATGATTTCTCTTTGTTACACTGTGTTAATTGTTGTCTATCCCAAATGGAAATTGTTGTGCTTTACTTATGTGTTCTTCTCCTCTTCAGCTCAGTACTTTGCTAGTACCATGATGATTGTGGGCTTGTCTGTGGTGGTAACAGTCCTGGTACTACAGTTCCATCACCATGATCCCCATGGAGGGAAGATGCCTAAATGGGTAGGTTAACAATGATTTTATTTTATAATTAATTCTCACTACAAACTTAAAAAAGAGAATAGTCAATTCTGATTTGTCCTCCACAGTGCATCAATTTCAAATAACCAAACTATTTCCACATATTGGCACAGTCAACTACGAATTGAAGCTTTTACTAGACAATGGCTCCCTTTTGTTGGAGGTATAAGGTGACATTTATTCAAAGGTTGACAAAAGTGTCAACACAATGGTTTGACTAAAAGAGCTTTTATGAGGAAGCATGTGTTAACAACACTTTATTTTATCTGTTTGTAATCTGCATTCAAACTCAGAATTGTGAGGTTATGTTAAGCTGTGTAGTTACATACATTTTTTGTATGTTTTATTTCTAAGGATTTATTTTATTTTAAGCTTTTGATTAAAAGTCTGTTTATATATATATATATATATATATATATATATATATACTATTATACACCATACAGTTATCAAGAAATAATGCATTGTGCAGCATCAAGTGAAATTTCTACTTTTAACTCTGTTTTTCTTTTTCATTTTACCATTCATCTCTTCGTCTGTACTCTAACACCTTTCTTCCCTTTCTCTTTCCCCCGACTCTCTGCCTACTCTTGTTTCTTTATCCAGGTTCGAGTCATCCTCCTCAACTGGTGTGCTTGGTTCCTCCGCATGAAGAAGCCTGGAGAGGAAACCAAAACAGCTATGAGCTCTAGGAACCCCCCAAACTACAAGTACTCCCATCCTCCTCCTCACCACACCAGCACCAGCAGCATTCAGATGAGCACCATACCTGGCCAGGCATCCACCCAGTCAACCACGACCAATGGGAGCATGAACCTGTACTTTGGCTACCACTCAATGGGCACAGACAGCCCTGCTTTCCCACCGAGCACAGATTCAGGTGTGGTGGTGTGCGGCGGTGGTGGAGGAGGAGTTGGCCACCCTAACAGCTCATCCCCACACGACATCCACTCAGAGCAGACGCGGACATTACTGCTGGAGCAGGTCCCGGAAATTTCCCAGATCCTGGAGGAAGTGCAGTACATTGCGAGGCGCTTCCGAGAGCAGGATGAGGGAGAGGCGATCTGCAGCGAGTGGAAGTTTGCGGCGGCGGTGGTGGATAGGTTATGCCTGGTGGCCTTCTCGCTCTTCTCCATCATCTGCACCTTCACCATTCTCATGTCGGCTCCCAATTTCATTGAGGCTGTGTCCAAAGACTTCACATAATTCTGACATCTTCCCTCTCTGAGAGGAGAGAAGAGAGGCAAGGCTAACATTAATAAAAATCCTGACACAATTAGAACTGTGCCACACAAGCTTCCCTGCTTCTGCTGTGTGAAGTACCACAAGATCCAGATGTTTTAAGTGTTACAAGTTACAGTACTTTGAAACCAAACTTTTCCCTCTTTCTTCACATACAGTATTTGTCAGTAATATCTGGGTGTATTTGGGTATAATCGGGGTGATGTGTTTTTAACCATTTCAAGGTGGCTGTCCTCGCGAACACCTTACATAGAATATGCCATGTAGGAGGTTGAGGCTACATGCAGTAGTTAATTATGTAGAAACTCACACTAATGCACTTTTCATCTGTATCCCTGCTGCACCACATCATTTACCTCCCATCACATGCACTTCATGTCTCATCAAATACACTTCCTACCTTTCCAGCTCTTCCTTTTCTGCCCTGTTCCCCCACCATAGTGCTTCTCATCTTCTAGAAACATCTCAGTATCTTCAGCTGTTACACACAGTTCAGTCAATATACGGTTTTAGAAATCATTTTTTCAGTCCTGTATTCTAGTAATGCTAGTGTTTTGTATTCTGTAAATAAATCCTACATCTTACTTTACATCTTACTTTATAAATGTGGTGAGATGAGATTATGTCTTTTCTATTGAGTGACTTTACCGGGAGCTAGTGACATGTTGACCCACAGCACTGTACATCTTCTCTTCGAACTAGAACTGCAACTTATGATTATTTTCATTTTCAACACAGAAGGTGACCAGATTCAGATTGCTTGTTTTATCCAACAGCCCAAAACTTTCAGAAGCAAACAAAAATTATGAAAATATTTGCATTTACTTTTTTCACATATGCACGGACAAGATTGTTTCTTTCTCACCTCTTTCCAGTCACCCTTATTTCCTTCATGCACAGCACAGCTCACGCCCAGGTCCTGTATCTATAAAGATGAAAAGTTTTGCCATGACCAGTAAAAGTCACACTTAACAGTGACATATAAGACATTTACAGTTTTGCTCTTTCTAAGTCAATTTAATAGACCACAAAGTGACCTCAGAAAGGGATCTCCTAACAGCCTCCATCCCTTATGCTAAACAGTACATAGTGTGGTTAGCATATGATACTCTGTGGCTATTTGTAATTCACTCACATTAGTTCACAATGCATTTATCTTTTGAGAGTAATTCAATGTTTATCTGACAATGTGTTGCTGTATTAAACTCCTTGATGATCGGAGCAACGATTGACAGACAATATTTGTTTTGTGTGAGGGATTTTTAAATGTGTTCTGAAAGGACATCACCCCAGTAGGGATGCATTTGAAACTAATCTCTTGTAGTGCAGAGTGCTTTGTGTTTTTACTCTCTAATACTCAGCAAAAAGGCAAACATTTTCTTCTCTAATCTCTAGTAACAACATGAGGATTACTGGGTGACCTTATGTAACAGATTTGTGTTAAACCTTGTCTCTTCTCACCACCCGAGTGTCCTCTGTGATCCTCAGTGGGACAAGGAGTGTGAATTCCCACTTTTACACACACAACTGAACTCACAGACTTGTCTAACTAGACACTTGGCCATTTTAAGTGAAGTTTTGAGAGGAAAGGGGAGGAATAAAAGCAGCATCATACAGTTCAATGTGTGACTGCTACAGGAATAGTCACTGAAATTGAATTCATGCTGTTACAGCTAATCAATGGGCTGAGTACAGACTAATAGCTGCCACCTGATGAATCCAACACAGTAAAGTGTTTAAATGTCATATCCTCTCATAATGGACAAACAGGAAGAGGTCAAGCCAATGCTAGCTGCAGTACATTGCAAAACTCATTGTGTGGACAATGTTCTTTTATTTTTCAAGATTCAATAATCTTTATAAGTCTAACCTAGATGTGATATTTACATTTGGTTTAAGCATCTCAAATATAAACAGTTTTTCACAAAAATGTAATGCAATGCTAGTAGAGCCATTGTTGTACTTGAAGGAACAAGTTGACATTTTGGGTTTCTTGACGAGGGTTAGATGACAAGATCGACACCACCACATACACGAAGCTACAGTTAGCAGCTGTGGTTAGTAAAGCTTAGCATAAAGGCAACCAGCCGAGACTCCAGGAAATCACTTCACCCAGCCAAGAAATAATTAGTGAGCTTTAGAGGTGCTGGTAGATGGATTTTGTTACCTTTGGACAGTGTCAGGCTAGTTGTTTACCTCTGTTTCCAATCTTTATGCTAAGCTAGGCTAAGTAGCTGCTGGTTGTAGTTTCCTATTTACTATACTAAACACAAGAGTGGTAACAATCTTCTCGTCTTACTCTTAGCAAGAAAGCAAATAAGCCTTTTCTTTTCCTTCAATACTGGTCAGTTTGCACATCATGTTTGTAGATTATGAGTTTCAGGGGTTACTGCAGGTGAAAACAGAGTACTAAGATTTCATGATCTGAGAGAACAAAACTGTTTTTGTTTTTTTTTCACAGAAACCATGCTGGGTTTATTGTTTTGCTTGTCAAAGTTCATGTGAACAGAAGTGAAGGAGGCTGCTGTAAGTATGTTGCATAATAGATCAAGGAATAATGCAAAACCTTGATCGGTGACTCATCTAGGAGAATATGGACACTGGAGATGTAAAGACATAGTATATGAGACCGGGGATAAGTGTCTATATACTGTACATGTGACTTGGCCCGACAACTCATGACAGCCAGTTATGTAGATATTCTCTGAGATGACCTCACCCTTTTCTATTGTTACTTACTCTTGTTGATGTCTATTCAGCATTTCTTAGGTTTCCACATGAGAGGCATTCATGGCACAGATAGTGTGCCAAAAAGAAGAGTGATGCTGACTCTGAAATGAGACTGTAATGAAAACATGAAGAAGACATTCTGCTACTTTGAAGCTGAAGCCACACAAGTAGCTCAAAAAGCAAAAATGTGAGATTGTTTTGACAAATATTGAAAAGTGAGGGTGTCACTGTCTGCTTTTCCCATCCCATCACAGGCTTTTTTATTTTAATCAAGTGTTGTATTTTGGTCAACTTGAGTGTCTTTTTCTTTGTGGTCTGTGCCTCTCTGCTCAGTATGATTCATTCTCCTTTAAAGGATGTACATACATGCTCACTGTACATGACTATTTTGCGAAAAATAAACAAGACATGTGCTAATTGCTGGCCTTTGAGTGGCTGACATGCTGCAATTCATGCTATAATTCACTAAAAAATACAACTGACGATGCTTTCACTGACAAAAGTTGTCAGACCGGCCTTATTCCTCTCTTGAGGTGTCTGAGTTATAGTAGTGTTGCTGCTGTGAATCTAATTGGACGGACAGTGTAATGACAGCTTGTCATCTGATGTGCCTGGTTAATCAGAGCGTGTGATTCTCATGGTATTTTGTTCACATATCTGTAAAATGTCAGCTTTTAAGGAAATAGACAACATTTTGGGAAACACACTTATTCACTCTCGTGCCAAGTTAGATGTGAAGAATGGCAAAAATAGTTTTGTGTGTGTGTGTGTGTGTGTTTATTTGTGTGGACTGGTCTACAAAGTGATACAATAAGTTTGAAAAAGTTGTCAACAACAGCATGTGTTGATTTATGAAACCAGGCAGCTCCGTGGACTGAATGTTTTTTTTTTTTGTTCCTTTTTTTTGATTGACAAACAAGAACTGACACATTTTCTCTATTTCAACACTGACTCAGTTGATTCTATTTAAATAATTCAGCATTCCACAGTTCCCTTTCTTGGGAACAGTATTTGTATATGGTGTGTGCGCATGTAGCCAGGTACACTAAAGTTGACTTCGCAAAGTTGTACTACAAGCATCTCTGCACCCAGAGCTGAGAGGTTAATCTGAGCTCAGATATGAGAACATGCAACACACAGTGTTCAGCCAGCAGCAGCATAGCAACCTTTCTCATTTCCCAGCAGGGATGAATGACTGAGATAGACCAAGTCAGGGGAGATCCAATCTCCTTACTGATATTAGTCAGGACGTTTGGTGGCTTACACACACACACACACACACACACACACACACACACACACACACACACACACACACACACACACACACACACACACCATGGTGCTCACCAGAGTGATGACATGTTCAAATTGGTCAAATCTAATCTCAGGCTTCACTACACACAGACAGACAGCTGTTGGTGGCTAGAATTGCACCACTCCCTGTCACCCCATGCAAACACATACACACAAATGCACAAACCTTCCATTTGCAGACAGGCTGGGAGCTGACAGGGCCAGTGTCCCCGCTCCACCCTTCCCTGCAGACTGTCCCACTGTTGTGTCCCTTTTTCTGGTCCTAAGATGGAGCAGACCACCTGGGTTATAAAGGGGGAGGGGGGTTATGCAATCCTGGTGAATAATGTTTGCTCTGTTTGGTGGCACTGTTGGTGCCAGGTCAGCTGGAAGAGATCTCAGTGGACTTTGTGCAGTTAGTGTAATGTAAAGACCACACACCTGCCCCTCCTGTGAGATATATATGGCCGTGTAGAATACTTGCCTGCGTGCAGACACCCTTCTGGTCTTCAGGTGGGGACTCTGTACTAGTTCACACAGTACTGACCAAGTGCGCCATTAAACATGACCCACCTATTATCTACCTACCTATTACTGAGATAGAGGTCTTCTGTACAGTCACAGCCTCGGAAACTGTTCAATCTGACCAGTATGGCTTGTCATTTAGCTCCGTGTTCTGCATACAAAACATGAATATGAGTCTGAATCATTATTATTATCCATCCATGCATACACTTAGCCAGAAGTCGTTATTTAAAAAAAAAGTTGTTTGACATTTTGAGAATTATGTTTATTCCCCCTTCTCACCAATATCAATGCCACTCTCATGTTTGTAAGCTAAATATGAAGGTACAACCAGCAGCTGTGTCTGAATCCTGGAATCAGGGGAAACAGCTAGTTTGAATCTTCTCATCTAACGGATTTCTGAAAATGTTGAA